TTTTATGTCTGAGGACGACAAGTTCTCAATAGATTTCTTCAAATGTTAAGTAAATCTTAACCAGAAATTTGTATTTAGGTATGACGAACGTTGTTCTCATTTAATTATAGTAACTTAGTTATTCTCAAACCTGATAGCTCAGTGGTCCACATCCGCAAGAGCTGTACTGTTGTTGCAGTGCTGGGCAGTTACAAGATGGAGATACCGATGGAGTGCATCCGCATTGCGATTGTTGAATATTTGCACAGTCACATTCTTGAACCTTAAATTTTTTGAAAGCTTACATCAGTGGGAACATCTACGGTATATGAGTGTATCTGTATAAATAGACTCGTCATCTACTGTCCTTAGCCAACGTGAGTGTGTACTAGTGAGTTGCTGAAATTTCATTGGCTTCAAATCTGGTTTTTAACCTAGTCATCTGTATTTTCACTAAAAAAAGTCTTTGAATTGGATTTTTAGTTTTAGCTAGTTGAATTTCGACAGTGGGAGTAAGTGCCCAGATAGATATTATGCAGGTGGTACTATGACTTTCTACTAGCTGTTGTTCTATCTCTTTTCAAATGCGTTGAAACCAAAGGTATACCACTGTCGCTATGTATATGAGTAATTGATAAAGGGAGATAAGGAGAAGAGAAACTTTTATTTGAGTAATTCCGATTTCCAAATAGACAATCTATTTTACTGTCAAAAAAGTTTTTTGCATTATGCGTAAAAGTTTCTCAAACACAAAGCAATCACTGAAGCACTTGAAATGTGATTACAACAGTTGCTGGACCCAGCGGCATCAGAAGTTGATTAACAAAGGAGAGAATGCTTACAGTTACAGTACAGCTATTTGCAAAAGAGCAGTTAATCTTTGCCAACAGTAATTTAACGTTAAGAAGGAAGAAACTTAAAACTAGGCTGTAAAAATTTGTCTGTACTGATCCTACATGGTTGTTTGTTGATTGTGTGGCTCAATATGTTATGGCCTTTACCGACAACAGCAGTGTATTATGAACCCTTCTGCTTAATTTTCTATCGGTCAATGTTGTCAGAATTAGTGTACAACGTCGGTTAACCGATTTCTTCAAGTGTTCATTGTATTTTTTCCAAATGCTTTTACTGCTCAGGGACCTCACTGAAACTGCTAATTTTTCGACATTAACGTCACCTAAATGTATCTGAGAAGGAATTTTTTTTGTTTAGATGTTCTAAACAGTTTAAGCAAACAAAGAAATTTGTTTTGAATTGGAATTTGTATTTACATATTAAAAGTGAATCTATGACAGACTTGGGGACCTTTGTTTTCGTTGCCGACTTTTCCAAATATTTCTTAAAAATTATTTTTTGTTGTTCTTCAAAGTGTTTACAGATTCGATTTATGTAGATAATATAAAACGTATGTGAACTACAAAAACAGCTGCTCTGAATTTATATCAGTGGGATTTTTTGCTACTAGTAATAAAATTTTTTTCATTCTTCACTTTTTACCATACTTCCGGGAATTTTGTATTGATAAACTGACCTTAATTTGAAGCTGAACACAATTACACTGTGATTGTTGAGACGGCGAAGCTATCGATTGTGGAGCAACAGGTTGTTGCTGAATTGGTGGTTGTACTGGTTGTGGTACCTGTTGGACAATCGGTTGTGGTTGAGCTGCAACAGATATACAGCAAGATGGAGTCTGTGTTTGGTAACAACACTGCCGTTTTGCTCTGATAACCACCGCATCGACAGTCTTTTCCTGAAACAAAAAAGCAGAGCATTCGTTAAAAATCGCTGTGTAGAGTATGCGTAGTGGAATTGAGATGAATTTGTAGAGGCGACAGTCAGTTAGTTTGTTAGTTGGTCAATATTTAGAATGAATCAGGAATAAAAGATGCCAGGAAAGATGAGCAATCGATAGATAACAAGTGAAAATTGGGTTTCGGAAGTTGATATTTTCAGGACTCTGAGTTTCTAATCGTTTTGTTTCCTATTCTTTCTTTTCAACCGTTAGTAGAGCTATTTTTCTGTTTTTCTTTGATTAAATAGATAAACAAATAAACTATATGAAATGAAGAAAAGTATTTCCAGTCAGATAATTGTTAAATATTGGGAGGAATCAGTGTATCAGCAATTGTATGATAACCGTCGATCTTTAAAGTCAAACTTTTGCTTAATTATAAATCACTTAAACTGCATTTTTATTTAACACACATAAGTTGAAAACAAAAATAAAAAGTTTTCTAGATTTCTTTGCTACTTCTGAAGAATAGAACGCTAACTAATTTTGGTTAGCAAGGAATATTTGTAAAGAGATGGGTACCGATTAATTTCGTAACGAAACGATTTGCAGTGACGCATGAAGATGGAAAGTACGTTAACATATGATCTTAGTTTCTCAATGCTTCTTGTTAATTTCTCTTAATTTTTTTTTCCACTTTTACTGCTTTTTTTTGAGTTTTTTGCACACCTTCGAAAGCTTAACGGTAACAGTATACGAAGATTCATCCGATAAACAACGGGAAACAAATAAAGAGACTTCTGAAGCTATTATTTTTGAGTTACGGGATAAATGTCGCAGCTCTTTTTTCTTCATTTTTTTTTAATATTTTGTTCATCCCATTTTCTTCTGATTTTCTGTGCAAAATTATGCGTTCATTAGAAAACAACTTTGCTTTTGTTTGTTTTTTAGACCCAAAATTAGATTAACTGATCATTGTACAGAGTCGAGGGTAGTTGATACAGGCATCTTTCGGAGGAAAGAAAACAATCCTTTGGTTTGTTTTCTTAGTAAGCCAGTTAGAATAATTTGACTTGGACTTTTGGGCAATGTAAAAAGTGAAATTTGGTGAATAGGAGAAGCCTTGATTATGTTAAGTATTCAAGTTCATATTTACTCTTTTCTAAATGATTTTAATGAAAGGAAAAAGGTGGATATTGAACGATTATCTAATTTTCGTGTGACGTTTATTTTAGCCTTTTGATGTATAAAAATATAGATATTTATTTATGTATATTTTTATTTCAAATTTATTTTATCAATTTATATGGGTTGCAGACAACTGTATTCTGTTGTCCCTAAAGTGACTTAAAAACTGACGTTCGGTTGCTGCTGCTGTCTGTTTTGTGTGTGTTTGTTGTTATTTTTGGGTGGCCACAATCAAAACTTCAAAAGTATTTTTCTGCTATTCTTTCTATAGAAATTTTTGTATTGTTTACTTTACAACCACTTAGCAACAAAAATAATGCCTTTTAAATAGTTAATATAAGCGATAAAAAAGATGATGAAAAAAGAAAACAAAAAAAAGCAAAAAAATTTGTTTTTTTATTTTTAGTCACATTTTTTTCTTTATTTATTTCTTTTGCAATTAATATTAAGAATGTTTTTGTTTTTTTT